CATGGCTCATGCTTTTGTTGTTATACCTAAAAATTCATCAACCATCCCAAGGTCACACAGATTTTCTCTTATTTTTTTTCTAAAAGTGTTATAGTTTTGTGTTATGTATTTAGGGCTATGATCCATTTGGAGTATCAAGGTTTTGTGTTATTTTGCTTTTTGTTCTTTTTGCATATGCGCATCCAGTTGTCTTGCACCATTTGTTGAAAAGATTATCCTTTCTCCATTGAATTTCCTTTGCTCCTTTGTCAAAGATTAGTTGACTATATTTGTGTGGATCTATTGCTGTGCTCTCTCTTTGGTACCACTGATATTTTATCTATTCTTTTACTGATGCCATGCTGTTTTAATTGCTGTTACATTATAGAAAATCTTGAAATCAGTAATATGAGTTCTCCAAACATTATCTTTTTATATAACTCCATACTTTTGGTTGGAACATACATATTTCTTGAAAAAATCATACTTGTGCTTTAAGATTCAGTTCAAACATAAGGTCTAGAAACCATTTACCCATCATTTGAATTCTCATTGCATCCTGTGAATTCAAATGATGGGTAACTGGTTTCTAGACCTTATGTTTATAATCTCCTTCTATAATTTTTATGCCCAGAATCTACCAGTGTTATCAAACTCAATAGTCAAGAAATATCTACTGTTCTCAATGGAACAAACTGATATCTGAATTGTGTATGTAAACATTCTCACCCAATAATTGGCTATACTATATACTCAAATCTTAAAAGGAGACTTTTATACCCTAGTGTCTCCATGTGTTCATTTTTCATATGTTTAAGCACTTGATATTTGCCAGGAACTAGGTGAGATGCTGCTGATGAAATGGTGAATAAGAGTCCTGATCAAGCCAGTCTTGTCAGATTAATTTTGTACTTAACATATTGTGTTAAAATGGTTATTTTTCAGGGACTTCCCTGGTGGTCCAGTGGTTAAGAATCTGCCTTCCAATGCAGGGTATGTGGGTTCAATCCCTGATCAGGGAACTAAGATCCCACATGCTGCAGGGCAACTAAGCCCACGTACCGCAACTACAGAGCCCATGCACTCTGGAGCCTGTGTACCACAACTAGAGATCCCACACACCGCAACTACTGAGCCTGTGCACCACAACTAGAAAGAAGCCCACACACCACAACAAAGAGCCCTCGTGCCACAATGGAAGATCCCGCATGCCACAACTAAAACCTGATGCAGGCAAAAATATAAATAAATAAATAAATAAATATAAAATGGTAATTTTTTAGTTCTTGGCTGTGAGCTCATTGAGGGTAGAAACTGGGCTTTTGTGTGTGATTTTACTTATTAATTAATTAATGTATTTGATGCATAATAATGCCTGGTTGGGATCTCCCTGGCAGTCCAGTGGTTAAGACTCTGTGCTTCCAATGCAAGCGGCACGGGTTCGATCCCTGGTTTAGGAGCTAAGATCCCACATGCTGCGCCACACAGCATGGCCAAAAAAAAAAAGCCTGGTCTATGTGTATGATAAGTATTTGGTGAATAAATTATGAAGGACTTTCTTTCAGTTAAATGTGAGTAAGAGAAAGTATTAACATTTTAAAAATAACACCTAAAGACAGGGTGGTATCAAAAGCCTAATTGTCTCATTAAAGTAAAAGAAAAATGCAGTTATCTTAGATTAAAAAAAAAAATACAATCACTGCAGGACACAGTTTCATTTTTCCACTGAGATGCCTGAAACTGCAGATTCTTTTTCTTGAATCCAATCAAGTACATCATGAGCACTGTAATAAAAGCAATGTATTCCTAAGTGCTAGATAGGTCAAATGTACTAAAAGATTAATTAATTAACTTACTTAAGGTTGTGAACTAGCAAAGAATGTTGGTTCAGTCTCCAACCAACAATCCTAGTGAACTAGAAATACAAGAGAGGTATGGATTCCAGGAATTTAAAAAATTTTAAAGCCTCCTGACCATGATGGAGTAACTGATATCAAACTAGATTTCTTGCCAAAAACAATCATAAAACTAGGCAAAATATATGAGGCAATGGTTTTCAAACTTTGGACAATAGGCAGTGCAGGACTGTGATCACTGATAGAAGAGAAAAACATGAAGTAAGCCCATGATTGTCTCTGCTTTCTGCCTGGGGCTACTTTCTGGAGTATGGTATGGAGAGGTATAGCTCAAGTAAACTCAGAGTCTCACTGAGCGGAGTAGGCTAAGAATTTGGCCTAAGACTAAGAGTTTGGGGATGCTAAGTGGCTGAAATTAGTGGGGTAGAGTCAAGAGAATAGTTTTCTGCAAAGAAGGAGTCCCAGAACTGTGCATAGGGATCTTCTTACATTTTTAATTAATACTAATCTGTGCATGTACAGGGAGAGACTCCACAAAGCCTAGCAGAGAACAGCTGCTGGGGAGTTATGAGCTTCACAGAGATTCTAGAAGTGCTGAGAAAAAGGAAATTCCAAACATTCAGAGTGGACAGACATTTCTGGACACCCTAGTAGTCAGCTCACACCCTAAAAAGGCCACACCTTTAGAGTATGGTTATGCTAGCCCTAAGCAAAGGCTACTCTAGATCTAAGGGAAGAAAGTTTTAAAATAGGTCTTGAAGGGATCAGACTGTTCTGCCAGTAAATTAACTGGCTGCTATAAAAAAATCAATAATCTTTAAAGAAAGATAACAAAATCTGAACTCTCAACAACATAGCATCCACAACATACAATCAAAAATGACTACTCATTCAAAAAAGCAGGAAAATGTGATCCATAAGCAGGAAAAAAGCAACCAATGGAAATAGAACTTGAGATTACCCAGATATTGGAATTAATTAGGAGGCAGTATAAATATGTTTATTGACTTAATGGAAAATATAGTCATAATGAATAAATGGACAGGAACTTCAGCAGAAAAATGGAAAGGATAAAATAGAATTGGGAATGACAGTTTTATAGCTGAAAAAACAAACAAAAATTTCACTGAATGAGCATAAGAACAGATGGGGGACATCAGAAGAAATGGTCAGTAATCTCCATGATAGATCAGTAATAATTATTCAATCCTAAGTACAAAAAGGAAAAAGATTGAAAAAAGAAAGATATTTATGGAACAATATTAAGTGACCTACTGTACTTGTAAATAGAGTCCTAGAATGAGAGGATTGATAGAATGTGGTAGAACAAAAACTATGACCAAAATCCCCCAAATCGGGCTTCCCTGGTGGCGCAGTGGTTAAGAGTCCGCCTGCCAATGCAGGGGATACGGGTTCGTGCCCCGGTCCGGGAAGATCCCGCATGCCGCGGAGCGGCTGGGCCCGTGAGCCATGGCCGCTGAGCCTGCACGTCCGGAGCCTGTGCTCTGCAACGGGAGAGGCCACAACAGTGAGAGGCCCGCGGACCGCAAAAAAAAAAAAAAAAAAAAAAAAAAAAAAATCCCCCAAATCTAATAAATAGAAAATCCTGTAATCAGATAGAAAAAAACAATACATAACATATTGGGAAACAAAAATATGAATAATGCTGACTTAATCAGAAACAATAAAAGCCAAAAGACAATGGAATAACATCTTTAAAGTATTAAAGAAAAATATGTGAATTCAGAATTCTATCCCCAGAGAAAAATATCCTTTTAAAATGAAGATGAAATGAAGATATTTTCAGATAAATGAAGATTTAGATCATAACCGGTAGAACTGTAGTATAGAAAACACTAGAGGGAGTTCTTCGAGTTGAAGGGAATTGACATTGGATAAAACAGGAAGGAAAGACCAACAGGTAGGAAAGAAGAGTATCAGAAATGGAAAATATGTGGGTAACTATAAAATTTGTTTTCTTTCCTAAATGTTATTAAAATATATGACTGTTTAAAGCAAAATAATGTAACATGGTATGGTGGATTTTATAAGGTATGTAGTTGAAATGACAACAGTAGGACAAAGAATAAAAAGTTCAGGGACTTCCCTGGTGATCCAGTGGTTGAGACTCCATGCTTCCCCTATGGGGTGTGGGTTTGATCCCTGGTTGGGGAACTAAGATGGTCATGACCCATAGTGTGGCCAAAAAAAAAAAAAAAAAAAGAATGAGGAGTGCAAATGAAATGATATTGTTACAGGTTCTTATATTTTACATGAAGTGGTATGATATTAATTCTAGTGTAAACTATATTAAAGATGCATATTTAATCCCTGGAGCAACCTCTAACAAGATGCATAGAGGTATAGCTGAAGAGCAAACAATTCAAATATACCAGAAAAAATTAATCAACCCCCCCAAAAAAAAAGCAGGAAAGGAGAAATAGTTAATTTTTAAAAATGTGGCAAATAGAAATCAACAAAACAGTAAACATAAATCCAAACAAATTAATAATTACATCAATATAAATTGATTACATATTTCAGTGAAAAGTCCCAAGACTGCCACACTGGATAAAAAATGTGAAACTCAAACTACATGCTATCTACCAGAAATGTATATTAAATGTAATCACAGATAGGTTCAAGGGAAAAAGGTAGAACAAGGTATACTTGTGCACACAGTAAGCACAATCAAACAAGAGTGACTCTACTAATATTAGATAAAACAGATGTCAAGACAAGAGACAGAGAAATGTTTCATAATAGAAGGGTCAATTCATTGGGAAGAAACAATCAGAAATGTGCGTATACTATAATAACAGCTTCAAAATACATGATGCAAAAACTGAATGAACTAAAGGTAGAAATAGACAAATCCACAATCGCAGTTTTCATGTATCTCCTACTTCATACATATTCTGCTGTTCGAAAAATGAGATTTAAGATTAGCCTAGATATTGTCAGATAATTTCTAAAGTTTTTTGAGAGGAGAAAAATCCTTCCATCTATGAACTAATACATAAAATCCAAGTCCGGAGGTCCACCGCCCGCTCCCGCCCCAATCGCTCGCGCCTGCGCTTGCGCATTCCTCTCAGCCCGTTGGGGCGAGGACCAGGCCCTCCCTACCGGGACTACATTTCCCACAAGCCTCTGCACCTAGTTTCCTTCCGGCTTCCTTGCTGGTGTCGGCTCGGAGAGGTGAGTTGGTCTTGTGCATTGAGGAAATGGGCGCGGGGGCGGCGCGGGGGCGGCGCGGACCTCTGTGTGCACTTGGCTGAAGTGACTGTGTAGTTTGTGACGCTGACTGGACACTGGGCACCCTGATGCGTCCTCTGTCCTCCTGCTTCAGGTCCGCACAGATGCAGCGGCCCAGAATGGCTCCGAGTTAGATTTATGAACCTCACAGCGAAGGCCCCTAACAAAAAGACGCAGAACAACAGCTCTCAGAACCACAGCTTAACCAGAGCTCCCTCCCAAGGCAGCTTTTGAGAACTCAGAGACGTATTCCAGCCCTGGTCTTTGTACTCTGGCCATTCTCACCCAGAAGGGTCAGCTTCTCCTCAGGCTCCCTCTTACTATCATCGGGTTATGTGTGTGATGGATGGCGGGAGCAAATGTTGTAGCGGGGGTGTGCCCTTAATCTGGACAGGCTGAGCTCCGAAAAAGGCGCCATGTGTCCAGATTCCCGTCTCCGTCCCCCAACCTGCTGATCTCTAGGAATGGAGTCAGAAAGGGGAAATAATTATGTATATACAATTAAATATGTGTGTGTGTGTGTGTATATATATATGTATATAATTATATATATGTTTATGTTTCCTCTTTGTTCCATGAAATGTAATTTTTATTTTTTTCTAGACGTGGGGACGTTTGCTTCTCCTGGGAAAGAGCGAAAAATCAGGTCGGACTGAAAAAAGATAAAGCGGCCCTGCCATTAATCTGGATGGGAGAGGATAGACAGATAAAGCAAGCTGCAGAGTTAATAGAAAACATTGTTTCTGCCCAGGTCATGCAGCAGTTGTAAAATGCCATAAAGACTCCCTTTTTGAGAGCTTATAGCTTTCTTACCAGTGTTGCCCCAGACCTGCCTTGCTGATTTTATTTTATCACTGGGGATACCCAGTTACTGAATTACCCTCACTTCACTTTCTAGCACTTAATCTCCAATTAATCCCTGCCTCTCCTATTCTCACCTCAGAAACAGCAGTCACTGGAGTATGGTTCCCCACTTCTTCAGAATCCTTCAGCTGGAATTCAGCTCTTTACAAAAGAGCTTTTCTTATCCCTCTCCTCCATCACATTCCAGCCATTCCTGTGGAATTTCCTCCCTCTCTTCAGTCAATAAATCTTATTTTGTTGGACTGTACAGGATTGTTACAGGTAGTCTTTAGTTGGTTAGGCTTTAACACCGGAATATCCTATCCATTGGCGTGGTACTTTGTTCTTCCTTCCCAGTGAATGGTGGAGAGGATGAGGGTAGAGTCCCCCCCACCTCCCAAGCGTATCGTCTCCTCTCCAGTGGCTATTCAGTGAACATTTGGCAGTCATTTAATTCCGCCTGTGAGCTGCTGCTTTCTAATAATTTGAATGGTCTGCAGGTAAACCTCATGCAGGGAGGCTAACTGTAGAGCTTTATTTTAGGCTGTGATTTATTGTGATTTATTTATTACAGCTTAGTTGGAATCATACACTAGGTGTTTTGATCTTTTCCACTGCCCTGAGGTCAAAAGCAGGGAAAGATAGGAGATAGTTTGATTGGTGACAGGGTCTTATGCTTTTGAGGCTTTTAAGAGTGGTAAGGTGACAGATTTTTAACAGAGAACTCTGTGTGAACAAGACAAGGGACTACTAGTGGGAGGGAGGGGAAACATCAGTAGAAATTTGAAAATTTGTTTGAGGTTTTTGACGGCACGAGTCTGTTTCAGGCCACATATTTATGTGGTCTTATGACAGGCAGTTTAGTATAGTTGCAATATGGGTTATGGAGCCAAATTATCAGGGTGCTAATCCTAATCCTTCACCCTTAGAGCTGGGTGAAGTTGGGGCAATTTATTTCATCTCTTTGTGCCACAGTTCCTTCATCTGTAAAAGGAGGATAATAATAGAACTTACTGTGTAGGGTTGCTAAGAATAGGTGAATTAATATATGTAAGGTCCTCAGATAATGCTTGATACATAAGTGCTCAGTAGATTTAGCTGATATTATTAAAGTGGGATCCATGTTTTTCCTCATCACCCAGATCCAAAAATTATGAGGATTTTGCCATGTATGCTTCATCCATCCACATACTCCCCCTTTGTAAATTGTTGTTAATCAAGAGGAATTGCCTATCAGTCTGAAGCTCTGAAATTTATTAGCATTCTCAGGAAGAGCGTGTAAATTGTTGTTAATCAAGAGGAATTGCCTATCAGTCTGAAGCTCTGAAATTTATTAGCATTCTCAGCAAGAGCGGGGCTGAGAAGCTCAAATTTTTTGTGGAAGAAAAAAGAAAGCTCAGAAGAGAATTTTCTTTAATAACTGTGGGAAGAAGTATGTAGTATTCTTCATCTTCAGTGATATAGCTGACGTTTATTAAATGTTTATTTGCTACTTTAGTGTGTTATTATATGTAGTGTCTTATTTAATACTCATAACAATGCTTTGGGATAGAATCTATAGTTATCACCATTTTATATGGGAGGAACCTAAGGCTGAAAAGTTAAGTAACATATCCAAGGTAACACACTTAATAACTGTCAGAGCTGAGATTTATATCTTGGAAGTTTGACAGCAAAGCCTATGTTAGTAATTACAACAATATACCAAATCTCATCATCATATCTACTTGAACAAATCCTTCCCGCCTTACTCAGTAATCCATCATGAGGGGGGTGATATTAAGCTGATGACAGCAAGCACTGTCAAGTTATGTCCAGATTATAGCTGTGAGGTCTCTGTAAAAGGAGGATTTCATACAGTAAGATTTATGCCTTACAATTTTTGTTTTAATGATGTTACATGCAAGGTTAGAAAAATAGGACAAGATCTAATAGCAGTTGGAGGGCTTCATAGGCATCTTAGCCCAAAGGATTGGTTCAGAAGCAAAAGAAACCCATTTGTCCGGACGCTGTGAAAGGAAGCAGCCATGAGACTGCCATCAGTGCCTAAAAGATATCAGAGACTTTGTCATCCTTTTCTAGGTAGTACTCTAACATATGGGCAAATTAAATCATGGAGTTGGTTCATGATTAAATCATGAATTAGATGCTGAAGTAAAGAAGAAAAGCCACTCAGGAAAAACAACAGCTGTTTTTAGAGTATCCTGAACTTTTTTCTTCAACAGAAGACTGGAAGAAAACTTGAATTGGGAAAGTCTTTCCCTTCTTTTGAGTATTTGCATACTTTAGGGTCACACTGTGTTTAATATGGTGGTGAGTGTTGTGAGCTACCACTGTAAACATTTTAACTGGTCCTACTAGGCATACATGTGATTTTTTTTTTTTTCTGTCAAAATAGTTTAAGGCCACACATCCTGGGGTTTTTTGTATTTAACATAATGGCTTTACCCATTTCATCAAAGTTAGGGCAACATCATCAATTTTTACTCTTTGCATGGTTTTCAGTGGTATAGATGCACTACAGTTTTTTTTGTGTTTTTTTAAAATGTATTTTTAAATTTTTGCTGTGTTGGGTCTTCGTTTCTGTGCGAGCGCTTTCTCTAGTTGCAGCAAGCGGGTGCCACTCTTCATCGCGGTGCGCGGGCCTCTCACTATCGCAGCCTCTCCTGTTGTGGAGCACAGGCTCCAGACGCACAGGCTCAGTAGTTGTGGCTCACGGGCCTAGTTGCTCCGCGGCATGTGGGATCCTCCCAGACCAGGACTTGAACCCGTGTCCCCTGCATTGGCAGGCAGACTCTCAACCACTGCACCACCAGATTAGCCCCCTGGCAGGAGTTCTTTAGACCCAACCAAGTTGTCAGTTACTTGCCACGCAGTCTTAATTTGGATGTTTCGTGGTCGTCTGGGTGGATCTTTTCAAGTCCAAAGAGATAGAGCAATAGGAGAATGAGAAAGACTGAGGGGTGAAAAGCCTTGGCCTCAGTGCGTTTCTTCACGGCCAGAGAACTGGTACTCTGCCAGATCCTGCAGGCGACGTCAGCTGCCACTTAACGGGCTACTTGAACCTACATGGCTCAGGATAAGTCCCAGCCACCCTTCAGAGGGGCGCCATAGCCCAATAGGCGGATCGAGATTATGGCCTTTGAGTCCCCGCATTGGGTGCCAGAAAAGATGTTTCAGGAAAGAGAGTGGGGTGCGAGAGGATGGTCACATCCCAAGTCATGTCTGAGTCCCTGGGATGGCCGCCAAGTGTGGGTTCTTGGCTTTGTGCAGGCAAGAATTCAAGAGCAATACATAGTAAAGTGAAAGAAGGTTTATTCAGGGAGATACACACTTCATAGACAGAGTGTGGGCCATCTTGGAAGGCAAGAGGCCGCACTACAGTTTATTTAATCATTCCCCAGTTTAATTATTTTCAACTTTTATTCATTATAAACCAAATCTGTTCGCATATCTCTGCAAACATCTCTATGTACATGCGCAAATAGTTCCTTTAGTCCCAGAAGTGGAGTTTCTGGTTTACAGCGTTACGGGGTTTAAATGCCGTTTCACACAGTTCTAAATTTGGACCAACCTAGTGTGCTGTGACCTTGCTAATACAGCGTATCATCAGTCTTTTAGATCTCCCAATCCAGTCGCTGTAAAGAGGTATTTTTTGGTTGCTTTAACACATTTTGTTAATTAGTAGTGAGGTCTAGTATCTTTTGAAAGGTTATTTCTACTTTTTAGTGAATTTCCCTTGCTCACGTTTCTCTCAGTGAAGTAGAAATCCTACCCTTCAGAGGCAAAAACCAAAGTTGAAAGATGGCTTTTTAGTTAGAGAAATGTGGACTCAAAACAAAGCTCTGCCACTTAATAACTGAATCTGGGCAAATGATCTGACCCCTGAGCATCAGTTTTCTGAACTATGGAAAGGAGAGAGGAACTACTTTGCAGAACAATGCTGAGTGATGTACCTAAAGCAGCCATCACATGAAAGTTCTCAATGAATGTTTGTTGTTGACTAACTGCAACAATCATGAATCCTCTACTGAAAGAGGGGGTGGAAAAGGACGTCATGGTATGAGAGATTCTGATTGGGAAACAGTAGTAAGTTGTCCGGGCTGGGGAAAGACCAGTGCAGCTTTACGGTGTCAGGATCTGAAAGGCCCGATCTGTGTGGTTTTCAGTCTTTGTGTTTAAGAGCTTCAGGCAGGATCCTGGGGCTCATAGGAGGCTCTGTGTGGATGGTGTGGCCCTTTCTCAGCCCTGAAAAAATTGTACTGGAAAGGGGAGATGTTGCTCAGGACAAGTCTGAGGAATCCAGTGTCGGGACCAGATCAACACTGCCAGATGGGGAACTGGATAGAAATCCTCCCGCTAAAGTATCTGGGCTCTGCACAAAGATCATCATTGTTTAGCTGAGTTTTGTCAGGGCTTGGATTTCTTCAGACTCCCTATACTCCTCCACTTGGGTATGAGAGCAATGTGGGTCTAGCAGTGAGGAGTAGTTTGGAAGCAGG